TCCTTAACAAAATTGCGCTTGCATTTTCCCTTGGATTTACTACCATTTGAAAAGGTAGTTTTCCTGAGCTTTGTGATTCCAGTTGATTGATTGCTGTTGCCATTTGACCCATTTGATTCTCCAAGCTTTCAATACTCGTCTTTGCCTCATGTTGGAATTGTTTTGTTTCCTGTTGAAATTGTAAAGTGTTAGGGGATAGAGACTTAACAATATCCTCTAAAGGCATACCAGAGTTAGAAGATTGGCCCTGTTGTTGTCTAGGAGGGTATGGCTGCTTGAACTGTTGAAAGTTTTGGCGATTTTGGGTTGTGGGCTGGTTTGATTGTGGATTCCCATAGCTAAGATTGGGGTGGTCCCTCCATCCTTGGTTGTATGTCTTTGAAAATGGATCATAGTTCCTTTGTGGTTGTCCTGGAGAGCCACCAGCTGCATTAACTTGTTCATTGGGGTCTTCTTGGAAAGTTGGGCACATGTCAATGGGATGTCCTGCTACTGAACAGATTTCACACGTCTTTGCTGTTTGCATATTACCTGTCGCCATCTGTCGAACAAGAGTAGTTAGACTCGAAATCTGTTGTTCAAGAGATGAGATATTTACCTCATTGACACTTTTAGAAGGAGTGTCGAGTCTAGTGCCGAACTGTTGAGAATTGACTGCCATGTTCGCAATTAAGTTTCTAACGCCCTCAGCAGTTTTATCCACCAATGCTCCTCCACTTGCAGCATCAACCATACTTCATTCCGTGGGTAGAAGGCCTTCATAGAAATATTGGATGAGAAGCTATTCACTAATTTGATGATGGAGGCAACTTCCACACAATTTCTTGAAGCGCTCCCAATATTCGTGTAGAGATTCCCTGTTGTCTTGCCTTACTCCACAAATTTCTTTTCTAATATTTGCTGCCCTTGAAGTTGGAAAGTATTTTTCTAGAAATAGCCTCTTCATTTCATTCCATGTGGTGATACTTCCAGAAAGTAGATAATAGAGCCAATCCTTCGCCGAATCCTTACATAAAAATGGGAAAGCCCTCAAGTTAATTTGCTCCCCAGTAACTCTTGTAGGTTTCATGCTTGTACAGACCACATGAAACTCCTTTAGATGTTTGTGGGTATCTTCATCTGCAAGGTCATGAAAAGTCGGCAAGAGATAAATTAGTCCAGATTTAAGTTCAAAAGTAGTGGCAGCATCTAAAGTAGGAAAAGTAATGCATAAAAGTCGATGAATCAAA